AGTACATTTAGGTTACTTATTGGGGTAAAAACAACACAAAAAAAGTACATTTAGGTTACTTATTGGGTAAAACAACACAAAAAAGTACATTTAGGCTACTTATTGGGTAAAACAACACAAAAAAGTACATTTAGGCTACTTATTGGGTAAAACAACACAAAAAAGTACATTTAGGCTACTTATTGGGTAAAACAACACAAAAAAGTACATTTAGGCTACTTATTGGGTAAAACAACACAAAAAAGTACATTTAGGTTACTTATTGGGACAAAAACAACACAAAGTACATTTAGGTTAGTTATTGGGGTAAAAACAATATGAAAGTTACAAAACACAGTAAAACCTACTTCTTTGAACCTTCTCTATTTTCAAGTTTTAACCTAAATATGAAAGTTACAAAACACGGTAAAACCTACTTCTCTGAATCTTCTCTATTTTCAAGTACATTTTAGGTTAGTTATTGAGATATTTTTGGGCGTCTACTAAAATCTCGACAACTGTCGTTATAAACATTCCTCATGATTATTGGTGCTACTTGTTGTGTGTGTTTTTGTGATTTTTTACTAGTATATTTACGTGAGAGGATTAGACCTCGTGACATGGGGTTACTAATACAGATCAGTTCTGTTTGGTTCGAACACACTTTCAGTAACCACGCTTATTTTCACACGTATTTGGGTAACTTTACCAAAATATCATCTATGTAAAATTACATTATTCGATCAAAATAAGTTATTCACCCATACTGGAACTCAACATCCGTATAACAAATTAAAAATAATAACCAATCATTACCCTTGCCCGCCGGTGTTGCTCTCACGTGATTGGTCGAATTTGAACGTCCGCGCCCCAATCAACCAATTTAGGAGACAGATCGCGCACTAAGTGGTTTTACTCATTTATTTTCACCAAGTCGGCCATAGGCTTACAAGTAAGTTATTTTTTAGACATGATAAATCACTCGTGTTCTGGTAAATTCTCAAAGTTCCTATGTGGGGGCCTCTGAAGTTTACGACCGCTTTTCCACACTAACGTTATCCCATTATGAGTATTACACGCACCTGTAGAGAGTATAAATGCCTAACAATTTCCATGTTTTGTTTAATTAAATTACAATAAAAGAAGTATGTAATTCGGTAAGCCTAATTTTTAAGCATTTCTGCACAATCGTAAGTTTTACAAGTATTAAGCAGTACTGGTTAAAATGATATTAATAACTAATGTTTCATGGCCTTAGAGTAATCTCGAAACATAAAAATAGCCAAAATAACTTATGTTCTCATGGGAACATCAGGAGGAATAAGGTTGATTTCTAATTGCATGTATTTTTAGTAAATTCTGTTTTATAGAAATCAACGTATAATTGGATTTGTTTTAAAAATGTAACATCACGCAAGGTTGTCGTTAACTTTACGTTCTGAACATACATACGTCAGAGAGGCTATTCAATGAATCTCTTTATTATAAACGGTCGGAACCGATATGAACTAGAAACAGGTCTGGTGAATCATGTTTATTGTGATGTCCATATTATACTCCCAGTAATTTATATACAACGTTCGGTTCATTAAAATGGAAACTTCCCAAGTAAGCGTGATCAGATAGTGAATCGGAGGATTCATGGTTCGCGCCCCGTTGTCGATAAACGCGTTCCTCACATTGGGCGCACCTTTGGTGCTCTCTAGTCTTATCAATGATTTATAGGAACAGCTATGCGCAGATAGGTCTGTGTATAGATAGCTTTGCGCGAAAATTCTGAAACAAATGTTACAAATGACTCAATGCTGTGTGGTCAGGATCAAACTTCGCTATGTTGGTGTGACTTGTTGTTGCACGTGTTTTTTTTTTTTTACAATTTTCACACCTAACCAAAGATATTTGTTCAACTGTTGACATCGCTATGCTGGTGTGACTTGTTGCTGTTGCAAGTGTTTTTTTTTTACAATTTTCACACCTAACCAAAGATATTTGTTCAACTGTTGACATCGCTATGCTGGTGTGACTTGTTGCTGTTGCAAGTGTTTTTTTTTTTTACAATTTTCACACCTTACCAAAGATATTTGTTCAACTGTTGACATCGCTATGCTGGTGTGACTTGTTGCTGTTGCAAGTGTTTTTTTTTTTTACAATTTTCACACCTTACCAAAGATATTTGTTCA